CCTCTTTCAGGCCAGACACCCCCAGCCAAAGGGCCCCATGGTCAGGTGTGTGCTTGGGCCTCCATCACAGTGGTCCTGATGTCACATGCCACCTCTTCACTGCACATTGTGAGGAGCAAGAGCTCCACAAAATGGCATCCTGCCCCTGGCCACCACTTGCCAAGCTGCTCGCACCTGCAGCACCAGCAACTGGAGCAGGACAGGAGCAGTGAAGCCTCAGGCAGTGATTTCCAGCTTCTGGGAGCTTCAACCCAACGCCCAACAAAGCTGCCAAATGCAGTTGAAGGGTAACTCCAAGATCAGCCAAACCAAAGGGGACATCTGAGAACTCTGGCTGGTGACCCAAACCCCAGAACTCTGGCTGGTGTGCGGAGGATGGCACAGGGCCTGTGGCCATTGATCCACTGGGAGATCAGGAGAAGCCCAAGGAGGTCGATCCAATTCCAGCAGGCCTAGCCAGGTACTGCAACACTGCTCTCAGGCTGTCCTGAAGAAGGGAGCTTGTCATGCTGACAAGACTCTATCAGCATGGGCCCAGCTCCTCGCGGTGGTCAGGTATGCTGCAGGCAGGAAGCTAAGGCCTTAGTGCCCCCGGTCTGTGCATGTCTCCCAGCCATCAATCAATCAATCAATGAATCTTCATTCATCAATCTCCTGTAACATGGTGGCTCTTCAAGTGTTGCTTGGGCTCTTCCTCCCCATCCTGCACTGCCCCACTGCCCCTCGTATTCACAGGGTATCTACCCTGCCCTTTCCAGTGTGTGAGGAGCACAGCAGCGCAGGGAGGAGGTCACGCTACAGAGACCATCCTCAGCAAATACACACCCTGTGCTGGGCATGTCTCTCACCAGCAGAGTTTGCAGAAGACAGAGGATCAAAGTATTCCTGGGATCTCCCATCCTCAAATAAAACTGTTCCAACCTTTGCCTTGTGATGCTTTCTGGACAGCACTGGGGGGAACGGCTGGAATAAGATGGGGCAACGCTTTGTTGAGGCCTAGCACACAAGACCAGGTCAGGGCCCTTAGCTTTAAACAGGGAACATTATTAGGCCTTGCTTTTCAAACTGCTTCTCTCTTCTTCTGAATACCAGCTCAGTCACTCGCAGCCAGGTTAGAATCACAGAATAGTTGGAAGGGACCTTTAAAGGTCATTTAGTCCAATCCCCCTGCAATAAGCAGGGACTTCTTCAACTAGATCAGGTTGCTGAGAATCCTGTCCAACCTAATCTTCAATGTTTTCAGGGATGGGGCATCTATCATGTTCAGAATTTCTCAGTGGAATGGCTTCCACTGTGGAGAATGCAGATAGTCAGAAAATGCTGCAGACAAAAGCCAAGGAAATATCAGTCCAAGCTCAGCTTAGCCAAAATACCGATTTGAGGGTCCTGTCCTAAAGACTGCGGAGTTGAGAAACTGAGACTGAGAAGAGTTGAGAGAATGTAGGATTGGCCTGTTGTGCAGGGCAGACCCTAAAACCTGAGTATTTTTTGTCAGGACAGTAAGTGACCCAATCCAGAAACCTAAATGAAAAAATGAGAAGAATATGGCTGTATATAATAACAAAAGACAAAGATGTTTTTTTTTTCCTTGAGGAGAAAGAAGAGGGTTTTTTTGGTGTTTTGTTGTTGTTGTTGTTTTGGGGGGTTTTTATTTGTTTGTTTTTGTTTTTAATGTTACCCCACTACCATTTCAAATCATTTCATTTTATATGACACCAAGAGGTGGGGGCACCTTCCCTGGCCCCACAGAAGCCAAAGAAAATAGAGAAGGACCATCTGTCTATGGTCTTAGTCTCCCATGGCAGTATTCTTACTTCAGAAACTGTCATTCTTTTAGCATTCATAAATTCTCGTGATGGCAAACCAAGTACAATTACCAGGTGATGGTATGATTAGAGCAATGAGCAAGACAATTTCGGGGGTGAGGATGTAATGGAAGGAAATCTTGGGGCAGACAAGGTAAAATTCAAGAGAGACTAAAAGTGATTACAGAGCTATGGGACTGAGAGCTCCTTGTTCAATGAGGATGTGTGCTAACTGGCCTGGCACGATATGACTTTTTCTTTTCTGGTTCAGTAGAACTGGTTGACTTTCAACAACTCAATTATCTTGTGTAAGTGAGGAATGGAAGGTGGTCCTTTGAGGTCAAGAAGTCACAGGTAGAGAGAAAGGACAAACAGAAATTGACAGAAATGGAAGTGCCCTGAGATTGCCCTGATCAGCTTCATTAGATACACTTTTCAAAATAGCCCTGGAAGGGGTGGGTCATGTGAGGAAAGGGGAGGAACATTTTGGTTGGGGTTTTGTTAGCATCGTGGAAATCAGGTGAGAGATAAGAGAGTAACAGTAGGAAGATCATGAGGTTGAAAAAAAAGCATACGAGTTTTTTTTCCATGAGAAAGACTGGACAGAGTTACTCAATAAATTCTAGAAATCGTGGAGTTGCACTTAGGGAATGGGTATAAAGAAGATTATTGAGAGCAAGCAGCATAAAAAAACTGAGAAAAAGATGAATAGCGGTGATGGATCCAGTTGTAATACGGTCAGGTAGCAGTAGGCACATTTATCCTTTGAGCAGTACAAGAGGAGGAGGACTCAGAGTCGTTTGTCTTGGCAGGAAGCCCAGGTTACAGAGAGTGAAGGGCTAATGAAAGGTCTGAGTCGACGTGGAAGATGGAAGAGAGAGAGCTCTCTTCCGAAGATGCTCTGTTTTCGAGCTACTTAGATCAAGAAATGGAGGCAAAATCTTTTGCTGGCTTGGTTCAAGTACAGAAGCAGGAATATTTAAAAGGACGTGAGGAGGTAAGATTCCATAGTGTGAGAATGACAATCATGAGGTGAGGGAAAGGGGGAGGAAAGAGCAGGAAGCAAAGAAGAAGAGTTAAACAAATTTTGTACAGTAGGCTTTTAGTGCATTAGGCAAAGAGCTTTCTTGTTTTGTAACAGTGAGCTTAATAGCCTAGACTGGCAAGGAAACGTTATCAATTTGCTGTATTCGCTTTGCTGTGTAATTCTTATTTTATATTTATGTAATATTTCTGAAGCCTGGAAGATTTTAAAAAACATCCATTTGTCAAAGATTCGACTCAAAAGGGCTTTTTTGAGGCTCTGCAGATGTTAAGGGGCAGGGAAGAATGCACTGTATTTACAATTCTATTCCTGTAACAGATAATCAATACATTGTGCTCTGCTGTGTTAAAAAAAAAAAAAAAAAGAATATGAATGCCAAACTGTGATGATAAGCCCTTTGTGTCTTGAGTGCACTAATTTTCTAAGGATTAGGGGCTGTCCTTTATCAGCCAGTTCACTTCTGAAAGTCCATGATAGATTGCTGCTTGCCCATCTGCTCCAAACAGCAGCAACCTCAACTTTATCAGCAAGGAAACCTCTAAACACAGCTGTCAGTAGGTAATGCAGAAATACTGCTTTCTCAGGGCAAACCCTCACAGGCAAACCTTACCTTTTTCTCTGGAGCAATAAAAAGTGCAATAGAAAGAGGACTTTGGAAGTAAGGTATTTACAAACAGGGTTGTTTTTTGTTTTTTTTTTTTTTTAGGGAAGGGGGAGGGTTGGGCTTTTGGGGTAGTTATTTCCTTTGTGCTCAGGCTGAAGGGAAATGGTCCTTCAGCACCTATTCTAATGTGCTCATTTATCTAGTGCTGGAAGAGTTGTGGGTAAATGGGGCTAAGGTCTAACACATAAAGAAATGTCTGCCAGCAAGAGATGTTTTAGCAGGTTAATGAGGAACTTCGTAACAGCCTAGCAGGGTCATTGCAAAATCGCATTTCTTTTTGCTGAAATCACTTTAGCCTTTTAAAACCACAGGAGAATACTCTGCTACTTCACGAGGAGATTTTGTTGAATTGAAAATGGTGTAGATAACATGTTATTTTTTGAGTATTTTTAGCAGACGTAGGAAAAAAATCGGTGCGAAAACAGGCATCTCCTCTACTCGCTCCTGCAGTCGGCGGGCCAGAGGAGGGCAGAGGGCCCTAATTTTGTCGGCTCAGATTTGCAGCACCCAGGTTCTCCCTGGAGAGATTGCCAGGGCGACTCTTCCCTCACCGACAAGCGATGCTGCCCCGAGGCTTCTCCTACGATACGGTACAGTGAGTTATCTACAAAATGGCCTCAGGATCCAAAAGTTTTGCTGTGCCCAAAGCGAAAAACGAAGAAAGCCTGGGGTGGGGGCTTGCAGCCGCCGCAGCACGGAGCAGGTGTGCGTGCTCAGAGGCGAGGGGAGGGTCCCGCTTCTCTGCAGCCACCCAGTCCAGCTTGGGGCAGGAATGAAGATTTGCTGTTGTGGGCCAGCCCTCAGAAACTTCATGTTTCTGGAAAGTACTGTGCACAGTTATGCTGCCCTGCAACGCAACTGCAATTTGTCATCAAAAAGAAACATAACCCTTAAAGACAACAACTATTCTAGATTTTTTTTTTTTCATTTTTATTGGGGCATATTTTTTTACTAATTAAGGTTACACTTCATATTTGACAGAGAATCAAGTTTTACAGGCTTGCTTGAAAAAAAATCAACAATATTTTTTTTCAAGGGAGATGTTGTAATGGAGAGATGTCTGGGTGAGATACCTGAGCAAAAGCAATCAGTTTGGCTCTGCCACTACACTGCTCCACGTGGATGAAATTACTCTACTGAAAAACAAGGTAAACTTCCCCATCCATGCTGCTGCAGCCATCCCGAGACTAATACTTCAGCTGCATCACCTTCTGCTCTGCAGGTAGATTTGCAGGGTAAAAAGAGCTTATTAAAAGTCTATTGACTTTAAAAATATGTGGCACTTTATGTCCAGTTCTCCCACTGGTGCTGCAAAATCCCCTCAGAGAAATAAGAGCTACAGCGTTCATGAGACTCGGCTTTTCAGTTGGATGATCTAACAATTCATCCAGGAAGCGGGTTTATATGGTCATGTGTGCAGGAACTGGGGCTCTTAAAAATTAGTTGCGGCATAGTTATTTACTTTAGAAAAAAAGTATTAACTCACCACTTCTCCTCCTCTACTTGAACTCCTATGGAAAAAAAAAAAAAAAAAAAAAAAAAAGTAACCAGCTAATTAGAATGTAATTTTAGCAGAGATATCACCCAGCTACTTAAAATTGCTATGCATGGTAACTACTGTTTGCACATAGAACTTGTACCGTAAGTATCTTCAACTTGTCAGTTTATCTGTGATGTGACCATTTTTGATGTTATTAGTGAATATTCATAATTCTCGTTAATCTGTAAAGCATTTCTGGTAAAACAACGTTTGGCCTGCAAAATGCAGATGGAGTTTAGTATTTTCTGGAGGCTGGATGGTCACATTTGCCAGAGCAAATCTCTGAGCAGCTGTAACTTCATTTACCGTTTTACTGTCCTCCACCATTTGATTGATTTTTACCTGTTACTCTGTATGTGCATGCATATGTGAACTCATGTCAAAATCATGTGTTTGTTTTGTTTAAATGTTAGTGTGATGATTCAGAGCACTGTGCAGATAAGATTTAAAGAAAGCAGATGCAGCTCTTCGATACATTTTCTTTACTGCTTCTTCATGCAAACAGTTGGTCCACAGGAACACAGGCAGGAACTTTATACCACCTCTCTATCTCCAGAAGGAGATTTATACCAACAGTATAAAGTTAAAATTTAACCACAGATGTGTCTTTGAGCAAAATCACAAACTTCTGGGTCCAGTTAGTGTAGTTAATTCCCAGTGCTATGTATGACATTGTCAGATTTACAAGAAAAAAAATTTCCAGCACACAGAATTTTTGGAGCACAGCAGTGTTATGAAGTGACCTGTGGATCCACTCTGACTCCAGGGGTACAAAATTTCCAGCTGTTAGTGTCTGTTCCACCAGTAAATAAGCTTGTTGTTGAAAGCCAACTGAAGAGCCTGTGCTGATACAAGGAAATGATCACCTGCAGGAAATGTGCTCAAGGAGGGTTGAGAGTTACAGAGCTGTTCGGTGAAGTGAGGTGATACTGAGGCTTTTGGGAAGATAACTGCACCTTAAATCCCATAACTGACCAAGAGAAGCAGCCGTTTGATAGAGAGTTTTTCTTTGCTTTACTTTGCTTGTTTGCTTAAAGAGATTTACATCAAAGGATTGCACTGTCCTAAGAGTGACTGAGGGGTGCAGAGGACATGCACGGAGGTTCATCACAAGTGCACATTAGGTTTATTTGTTAGAGGAGGAAGCAAGCCAATGCAGTTTGCCTTGCCATACAGAGATGGGCCAAACTTTAATTAAGGTGTATGCCTGGTCTGAGTTCAGCCTAAACCTAAACTAGGCTCCCTTTGCAGTCAGTGGAGAGAGACTGACTTGATACTGCCAGTCAGAGGGCTGACAGCCTACCTGCCTATTTTAGGGCAGTTGTTTCTAAAAGAAGTAATTTCTGGCAGCAACAGCTACTTTATGGTATTTCCACTCCCACGCTACCCCTTCAGCTGTACCAGCATGACTGCTTGTGCAATGATGCTGCAAAATGGACCAGACAGCGGACTAGCAAAGTAGTTTTATTTGTGAAGCCTGTCTGACTCTAAAAATCTCATTGATGGGCACAACTGGGAGGGTGGCATGGTGCAGGGGCAGGAATCTTGTAAGGCTGTATCATTGCTGAAGGTTTCGCTTGATGTAATCCCAGCTTGAGGCATCTCCATTGGTTTGTACACAAAAGCTACCCTGGCAACCCCTCACCTACCATCCCCAGGCAGCTTTCACATACGATTATGTTGGTCATCTGTAAATTTCAAAGTTTTAGAGGGAGATTGTCAAAGGCTTGAACAGCATTTGGGGCTCTATTTTCCTTAGGTCTCAGGAAACTGAGGCCCCTATACCTCTGAAAAACAGCATTTGTTACTTGTAGCAACACAACCTTAAGAAGAGGCTTCAGGGAGATGGTGTCTGAAGACTGTGGTTCACATTACTGTTGTTTATTTTGGTTTCTGCAAATGTGGAAATTACTTCTTTGTGCCCATTATTTTGCAGGTTTTTTGCCTGCTAAGGAGTTTTTTTGTTCAGTGGGAATGAGAGATTATAACAATGAAATGGCACGAGGCTTGGCTGGGAATAGGAATAAGTAACAGAAGAGCTTTCCTCTATCCCTCTCCCACCTGGATCTTGCTCCTTTCTTTAACACTGAACATCAGCCCTTCTTCCCGAATATACCCAAAACAAATAGCTGTGAATCAGAAAAAGGCTACAAGAAGGACAGTGGACTGAATCCAGAGGCAATAGTAGTTACTGCCCTTCCAAGAAGAATTTAAGAGGAAAGTCACAGCTTCTCCAGCAGTTGCCCCTGGGATGCCATACTTCTACACAGTGCCTCTCATCTCATCAAGCTGATGCAGAGATTTCACGGTAAATTCTTAGGCTCTGCTAATCAGATAAGCCTGTCCAGGCACAGTGCTGTGCTTACAACCTCCATCTGCAAGAAAAAAAATATCATGTCTTCTTGTGAAGGGTGATAAGCTGTGGATTGCTATTCTATTTGCTTGGAATTCATCTCCCATCAAAACGTGTGTTAATACTCAGTTGATTGTAAATTCAAGTATTTTGTTGGAAAAGCTAATCCTGCAAGCAGATAGCTGGTTTTTTTTTTTTTTTTTTTTTTGCGGGGGGAGTATGGGAAAGATTAATTAAGAAAGCAGATTACATTGGTCTAGTTTATTTGCTCTTCTGCTTTCTGTAAATAGGAGTGAACTTTGGCAGGGTTAGTTTTCTTGGTTTATTCCACTAGGAGTAACAAAATCTAATTTTCTTTAACAAGGGCAAATCAGAAGGAACTTACCCTCTGCTCTTGAGGCTGAGATAGGAACAATGCTGCCTCATTCAAGCGGCTACCAGTCATTATGAAATGCATGAATAAGCAGTGACAATTAATTCAGTGAGGCTGGACGAAAATATTTTTTGGGTGATAGTGTAATGTAAATCATTGTTTTACACATTCCCTTTCAGTGATTTAATTCATGCCTTTCTGACCCCTGCTGTGTTATGATTCATAGATTAGTGCTCATGTGTGTAATTTAACAGAACTGAATAACAAGGAGCAAGGAGACTTAAACAAATCCTTGCATCTGATGGTTTTACGATAAATTAGGAAAACATCATTAGTACCATGCAGAATGGATATGCTGCTGTGTTTTCTACAGAGGTAACTGTCAGGAAAAGAAGAAAAATACACAAAACATTGCATAAAGAGCAGTAGAACAGGTGTAGAAATCTAAAACAATGGCAGGCATGTCCCATACTGTACCTGTATTCCAATAGATAAGCATCTGTTTTTCTTGAAGTGGTCCTTCTTTCTATCTTCTACTGCAACGGTGGCAATGGTTGTGGTGGTGGTGACGGTGGCAGTATTGTTCCCTACATGTTGACTTGCAGGGCCATGGATCTGTGCATTGGCAGCTTCAATAGCAGCTGTTAGTGCTTTCATACTGTCCAAGCTCTCTGTGGAGTTGCTAAGTCCAGACTGACTGATGATATCTCCCCTCTGTCCATGCCCATCCATATATGCATCTTGGGCAGACTCTGTGCTGCTCTGGGCTGTGATGGAAATAAACGGTTTGGTGGTGGTTCTTGGTGGGACTGGTGGTGGTGTCTTCTTATAGGTGGTAATGCAGGATGACACTGGAAGAAACATATGATAGTTCTTAATTTATTGATGCTGCAGGAAAATGAATGCAAGTAAGATCTCAAAGTATCCGTGAGCGTGGACAGAGTAGACGTAAGGAGGACACTGTTAGCCAGAGAGCCCCTAGAAGTTCCAGTGCAAGTGCCATGGAAATACCTCACTTACCAGTGTTCTCTGTTCCTACTAATGTGTGTTGCAGAATTGCCAGTAGAGGGAAAGTAATTAACTATTTGTCAAGTTCCTCCTTAGTCTTTTTAGGGCTGTTTTTTTCCAGTATATTTTCTACTAACTGTTCTAATCCCATACAAAAAAGTCCTTCCACCAAAACCTTTGTTCTGCTCATGGCTTCCAAACAAGATTCACAAGGATGATGAATCTCCAACCACTTATCCTAGCTAAACCACACTTCTTGTGGTTTTACTGTAGTTGTTTTCTGTCTCTCTATCCTGTTCTACTGCATTTTCCAAGCTTATTTAGAATTTTAAACTAGATTTCTTCGGAACAGAGAGATCCCCAAACCATCCTAGGCCAAAGTCTGTTAACACTCACCATGCTTGGACTTGCGTATTTCTTGCTATAAAACGTCTCACTTGTTGCACAGACTCCTCTAATACTTTGAAATGCTTTGTAAGCTGCTGAGGACATATTTAAAACAACATTTTGCCACACCTAAATTTCTCATAATAAATAGAACATCAGTTCTGGAAAAAAAATCCTTGATTTTGCACACAGTTTTGGTGTAATGAAGTCACTGGCTAGTCATGTCAGTCAGTGGGACTACTTAAAGTGTAAGTATAAATGTTTGCAACAACAGATACTTCAATAACAGTTTATGCGGACTCCTCTTTTCATATTTTGAAGGCCATGCTCTCTTTGCTGCTCTAGCTTGAGGTTCCAAGGTTAAAAACTATTGGCCAGTGTATACAGAATAATATGCAGAAAGAACTATGTGGAGGTAAGAACATCTTCCTTTAAGGGATAGTTGGCAGCTCTGCATTACTGAAGTCCTGGAATGCTTTCAAATGAGGAAAGAAAGTCCATTAAGAACAAAACCCAATCATAATATGCTCTATTTTTTAAGAAAACAAATGCAGGCATGAACCTGTGCAAAGTTCAGACACAAACATGTTAACATAAGTTCTTATTAACAGTAATCATATGGCAAGAAATGATTCATCAGATCATTTTAACTGGCAGACATCTATGCCACCCACATAAAAGGTAACTACTACAGCTGTTCTGCTCTCTGTTTGCACTGTACGTGCTTGTCGAGCCAGAAGCCATTATGGTATTAATTTGACTAGCTCAGATCCATATGTCTCATATCTCCTGATAGCTGTAGGAATAGTTATAGCGTAAAAGGTGTTCCCAGGGCATGAAATCACACAGGATTTTATTTTAAGGACTCTAGTATAAGTTTCTGATAACATGTCTAAACGCATGTTAACACGTTGAATGCTAATGGAAAAAGAGTGTTTCGCTAAGGTAGTGAAGGTTTTGAAACTATGATTCACTTCTGAAGATTCAAACAGAAACCACAGCATCCTTGAGAGAAGAGGTGGCTAAAAATGAACTTGTCAAATTTTAACTCTTGGGAAGTCAATAGTTGATAGGGGTTAAAGGTGTTTTTTAAAGTGCTTATGACAAGACAAATATCTGGAACTAGCAGAAAGGATGACTGTTTTACAAAGGGGATTGTGAGTTTTTTTTGCTGTTCTTCCCTGGTTTTGATGCTGCAAAAAAAGCATTTGTTGTGAGTACATGTTCAGGTAAATCAGGGGCTGTTTGCTGCAGCACAAACATGTACTCCGGGACTTACGGAGAATTGTGGAGGCTGCTGCTTGCATGATGATATTCCAGAAACCACACAGGTCGTTCATGGTCTGGAGAATGTTCTCTTAGTGGTGAAAATGCAAGCTAAAATTCACGACTGAAGAATTCAAAGCACATATACATGTGTATATCCAGGTAACTTTTGGGAAGCTGGTTCTAAACTTGTCTAACAGAGGTTTGTGTGCAATGCTACTTTGCAATTCAGCAAAGTATAAATTGCCCCATTTAAAATATGCCAGGCAGGGACATTGTGGAACTCCTGGGTAGATGCCAGCACCTTCAGGACATCCCAGCATGGCACATAAGTACACATAGCAGATAGGGAAATTATAATGAAACACACTTGAGCAGTGCTCTTAGGTAAGGAGAGCTTAAAAAATAAAAAGCAAGCCTTAAGAAGACTGGTCCTCATGTCACTGGTCATCCCTCACAAGAAAGAGAGTCAATAGCAACTGTCTGTCGACAGCCACTGGGCACTCTGGACACAGCAGTACAAATACAGAAACGCCTGATTAAGATGTCTTTCATTCGGTTGGTAAATGTACTCAATGAGGAGTCTAATCCACACTGCAATGAAAGATGTTTGCACTCAGCTAATTAAATCTGAAGTTATTCTTAAGAGGGGGAGAGAATTGACAAGTCATAGGGTGAAATTGTAAAGAGAAACAGCAAACGTTCTTTTAGCAAGTCAAAACAAATCCTTGGTTTCCTGGAGTCACGCAGCACACACTGTACAGCTCTGGAGAAGCAGAGTGTGCAAGTCATAAAAGAACCCCAGGCACTTCATTACTGGAAATGATGTAAGCTCCTGCCGCTCCTCTGCAGAAACGACAACAAAACAATGCTCGGGCCACTGCCACCGTCAGAGTCAGCTGCGCTCGAAATGTTGTAGCTGGGTGAGCCCTCCAAACGGCTGAAGCACAACAACAAAAGGGATTCGGTGCATCAGTTCCTCTCCGGGTGCTTTCAAGAACCTGGCAACTTGTGACATGGCAACCTGAAGGATCTGTAGGCTGTTCAAGTGGCTGCAGTATTTTAAATGCTAAGCTGCTTGAAAAACAAAACGACTACTCCTCAAAGAAAAATTACAAAACCTGGGTGCTCTTCTTGTGCAGCCAAGAGACCCTGAGCATTCAGTCGGTGCGGAAAGAGCACATTACATTGTTTTCTGTCCCTGCGGGCAAAGGAGAAGCTTATCCATCCAGCTCTTCTGCAGCAGAGACCGACTGCCTGGCAGGAGGATTCTGATGGAGAAGAGTACAGGATCACAGGACACATGAAAAAGATGGAGAAACCCTCACTTTACACACAGGGGACTTTCAAGGGATTTTGCACATGAAAGTTTAATTCACATCAGGAAGTGAATATAAAGGGCTCTATAAATTCCCTGATAAATACAGTCTTGGACATGGATCAAGGAGCAAAGTTCTGTACGGAAACTGATCTGACTGGAGAGTCAAGTCAAAGTAGTCTCGTTTTTCATTAAAATTGTTTAGACATGGAGTTAATCATAAATGGCTTTTTCTGAATAGCAAACATGTATATGAATCCCCAGTTTGTCACAATACAGACTAGCTTTTCATATTATTTTTCAGAGCACACATGCTGCTGGAGCAGGTATACATCCCTCTCCTAGGGCATATGCAAAGTTTAATCCAGAAACTAGTTAAGTCATGCGCAAGAATCCTCTGACTCCCAAAGCAACTTGAATAAGGCCGACTGTTTCCAGCTGTATCAATCTACCAAGTATTGCTCACCTTTTCCTTTTGTTCTTTATCCTATTTCTGTGGCCTGCCTTCGGGTTAGAGTTTAAACCCAAATACCTAGAGAAAAAGCACTTTCTCCAGATTTAAAAAAAAAAAAAAAAAGTCATGGCGTTTGTCCTCCTAGCCAGTATTTCCAAACAACTAGCTCATGGGACAGGAATTTGGAACAGGGAGTGTCAACCACCCAGTTCAGAAGGAAGTCTAATGATAAAAAAAATAATCCCAGATTGCATAATAATAAAGGCTTGAATTTGAATGTTTCATTGTAAGAGTACTTCAGTTGTTTAAACTTGCTCACTAGGGAGATGAGCCCTCAGGAACAAACATCAGCACGCAAACACAAATTTTTAGCTCTGTGAATGGGTGCTCAGGAGAACCCCAAGGCAGATTAATATTTGTGAAGAGATCAAATTCATGCAGTACTTTGAACAGTTCAAGTGATGAGATATGTAAGCAATATCTTTCTAATTTGGTAGTCTCATATAAACTTGGTTAACAAATACAAGAATAAATGAAAGTGCAAATTTAAGTTAATTAACAATAGTGTTTCTCTTGAGAAAAAGTACTAATTCCACAGTTTGAAAGGAGCAGCAAAGGACACAACTTGTGCACAACTAAGTATTAAGGTACAAGGCAGGAATTTTTCCACCTCGCACAGATGGATGTCAGTCTTCTGATTTACTCTCTGTTAAACAGGTGTGTTAATAGCAGTGCTCTTGCATCTCACACAACTGCAACACAAAACAGGCTGTAGGCACATCCAAGCAGACCTGAGCCTTACAACTGCAGCCTCCGAGCTTCCCACACAGAGATGCAGTGCTTGATTTGGCATGTTGAATGTTAGACTCAAATAGAGTTGTTATTCTCCTTACCATGCAGTTACTTCCTTACTTTGTTGAGGTTTGGGGGGAATGCTTAGAAATAGGGTTTCAGATCATGTATTGTTATTTTTACATGCAAACAATTGGTATGAAAAGAGAGCATGCATTTTATTAATAAAAACCTTTTCATATAGCAGGTGGCTTCTGAGGATGTAGAGATTTACTGTTACAAAACTGAAATAAAGATTTTTTTTAAGAAGTTCTAAACTGCCCAAGGGAATAATACCAGAGTGAGCTATGGATGTCATTATCCCAAATGAGAACTACTGAAATCTTTGTACCACACCATCAGGAGTTCTGCCAAGATCACCCTTTTTCCAAACCCCTCCACCCCCACCAGGCCACGTATCTTATCCGACAAAACCATAAACTACACTGGGTTAGGAAACAGGCATAACTGATCATAACTAAAATCCCGCAGAAATTATACAAAGTATCTAAACTATATTTACTGCACACAATAGCACCACAGATTTAATATCCTGTGTACACTGAGGTCTAAAAGCTGGTGCTGGT